CATATTTTCTACTCTACCATAAGCACCTTGAAAATGAGACTTAACCTGCAATCACTTCTTTTAATATTTTGTCACCTGCAGATTTTGCACTGAAACTGGCCTTTCCAGTTCTGTTTCAGTTCACGTTTTGCACAAGTGGAAGTGAAAAAGAGCAGTGCACCATCAACCACCTCAGCAAATGAATGCGTCTGAGGAGCAGCTCATCGGGGAAAACGGGACACTTGAAAGTACTGAAGTGACTCAAAGGTTTAAAAAATATATATGTATTACGAGAGCCACAAAAAAGGTTACAGACAGAGCTCCACAAAGCCTGCACGGATACATTCCAACAATTCAAGGTGGCAGAACAGGTGAAATACAGACCATAAAAACGGTTCAACATTAACTTTCCAGACTGTCAGAGACAGCAACCGTGACCCCGTCTTTCCCACACACAAAAAAATATTGAATATCTATATATATCTATATCTCTAGTCTGGACCACAGATATAGTCCAAAGAAAACCACATTGCAATTTCCACATTAGGCTTATAGAAGAATAGGCATCATCTGAGGAACGTCCATTGTAACGCCCAGGAGGTGATTATCTTAGGCCAGGCTGACACAGCATTATATGTTTGGTTAGCAATTTTAAAACAGCAACACAACACGGTTCATTTGCTGCACATGGCTACTAACACATAGCTCCGTGCAACCCTTAGAGCTGACTTTAACCAAACTAATTAATTACATATTTTTTTTTTGTTTAATTTAAAAAGAAAATGCAAATGTAAGATACTAAGGGCAGTTCCTGCTATCACCTTTCTTAAAAATTCAAGACTTGAAGACTTCTTTAATGTACTTGCTTACAGACACATTTGAGACTGTATTAATGATCTTCAGGAAAATACACCACCTGAGGCTTTTTCCCTTGTTCACTTCTGGTTATGTCTGCATCCAGTTTTGACATAATAGGCCAAATGCTGGTTGTACATCAGTGCAGTATTTGGCCCAAAGTTTCAAAGTCTTTGCTATTCAGACTTTCCTATGAGGTCAACAAACAAAGTAGTAAAAAAAGAAAATATTAAGGCTTCAAGTAAAAATATTTCCTCTCTCTCCCACCCATGTAATAAGGTACATTTAATTTCATAATACTCAATATATTATACAATTAAAGATACAGAAATCCAACTTTTCAAGGCAGATTGAACCACAATGAAAACCTGGAGGCTAAATGGGAGTGTATAAACAGGGAACAAATGGCTAATAAAATGCAATATGCAATGAAAATTGATGCATAAACTAAACAAAAACTATTGCTGTTTTTTTAAATAAGTAATACAATCCACAGCTAAAAATAAAAACATGTTGAAAAGATTTAAGACTTCTGAAACATGAAATAAACATGACAAAAATAGAGAAGCTACTTTACAAAATGTGTTAACTTGTGCTGGATTTGCATGGCTGATCCCCACCTACTGTAAATTAGCATCACTTAAATGAGCATTGATGGAGCCACACCAATTTACACCAGCAAATTTGGCCTGCAGTGTCTATATAAAAAGAGACTACCTGGGCAGAGGAACCTTACTGCTAATCTGTAAACTGCTTGAAGAACTATACTTTAACATGGGCTAGTCTGCTCTAGAATGAAATAGGTCCCCAGTCCTGCAACAGGAGCTACAGAAACAGACACTAACGTTTATGAGAAAATAGCTGCAGGTTCAGTGCCTTGGATGGAAATGAGGCTGGATTTGCTGCATTCAACCTCCTGTTAACAGTTCTGCTTAGATTATTCTTTCAGAAGATTTGAATAATTTACTCCAGGCTATGTGCACTGAATTACATGCAAACCTCAAAAGGAAAACAAAACAAAACAAAACAACAAAAAAACCCTGATTGGTACCATTGTAAACCTATTAACAAGTTGAACGTCTCTGAACTGTGGGCAAAACTGCTTCCAAGATATAATCCTCACATATGAACCTGTAAAGACACAGTGCATCCATTCTTTCTTCCCTTACCCCTTATGAAGTATGTCAAAATAACCCTGGATATTAGTGCTTTACACACAAAATACTGTGTTTAGTCATACTGAGAAATTCTCTCATGAACTAATGTAGTTAACTTCAAAGGCTCTTCAGCCTTTCAAGTTCTTCAGTAGCTTTTTATAAATGCAGGAGAAAGAACGATCAGAGTGGAGCATCACTGGGATGCAAATCTCAAATATTACATTGGTGCAAATTTTCAGCCTTGCTTGCATGAATTTCATGTACATATTCAAAGATTCATGATAAAATGTGCCCTTGTCTAGCTCCCTAGCCCAAATTCAGTGTGTCACAAAAGCCCTCATTTTCAGGGCTTACATATGGCATACATGATACTTTAAAAACAAGTAACTCTTGTGATACTCTATGCATCAGAGTGAATTCCAGTCCTTGAGGAAGTACTGCATCTTCCTGAGGAGTAAACCTCAGGGCAGAGTTGCAGATTAGTAACAGTTAAAGATGGAAGAAATCTATAAGGCCATCTGATGTAGCCCCTTGCCCCTGCAGGTTCACCTCTTGCAGAAATTGTAAAATTAATTATCCTAATATAGTTTGCCTGTCCTAAAAAGTTAGTCTCCAATAAAGGTCTTTTCCAACCAGAATGATTCTGTGATTCTGTTTCACCAATACTCTTCCTTGGAAGACTATTCCACTGCCCATTCCCTTCCATCTTTTCTGCCCCCTTCTAAATGTAGACCAGTGAGAACCTTTTGATTTACCTTTGGTTTTACATCTTTGAACTGACATATTTGTAAAATTATGATACTCAATTTCCACTTCATTGCTCAGCCAGTGATATGTTTTTAGCCCTTTAAATCTTCTCATCAGCCAGCCTGTCCAGTCTTTTAATATATTGCTCCATCCATACCTGATTCAGTTTGCCAGCATCTTTCTGGTACCATGGTACCTTCAGCTAAAGACAAAATCCTACATGCCAGTCATCAAATCTGCATAGAAAGACTCTGCTCTGCAATATCCCTACAGTAGGCATTTAAAATACCACCAAGATAACAAAATGCACACTGATTGCTAGTTCACTGTCTCATAACTTTGGCCTGTTGTAGCTCCATTTCTTTCCAGGTTTCTCCCTTCAGACACCACAGAACATTACACAGACAGATCATTAGCTTTCTTGTTTTCTTCAACCTTCCTCTCCAAAAAATGATGTGATATACAAGGGACATCATAATAATGTATTGCAGCAGATGTAAAGATTTATCAAATCAAAAGATAAATTTTAACCAGGCAAAACTGAAGTCAATATTTGCCTTCTGGAATAATTAATTTCAACATGCATGAAAGTAAGATGTCATCAACACATTCTGAATTGCTACCAACTAGCTGGAGTCAAGGACTGAAAAGGATTCAAAACCTTGAAACAAATACCCTGAAAAATTACTAATTTAGCTCTCTAGTCAAAACTGTTCACCAGGAGACTCAGGTGGGAACTGAGGTTTTCTATGCTGACTGGCTCAGTGATAAATAATACCTTTTAGTGACTTTGGCAATAGTCACTCAGGATCTTCTTAATTGCACATATGATCTGGCTAGTTAGCATTGGTTCAGATCTCAGTACTTTTGACTTCTGAGGTGGTAACTGAATGGGAAGGAGAAGGAGACAAGGAATGGAGGAAAGAAAAAAATAATCCATTTGTCCCAAAATTAGCTTTGCTGGAGTCTTTGTGTTTGTGACAAAAGTAATGCACCCCTTGCTTCTTATAGTAAAATTGTCTTTAAATCCAACAAAGTACGTGTAGTTTTCTGGAGACAGGAAAAGGAAACCTCAGAATGTTAAACAGATTTGATTGATATTGTTTTAAAAAGTTGTTCCCCAGGGGAAAAAAAACAACCCAAATGGAAAATCCTTTGTTGAACACTACTGAAGACCAGAGGGAATGTGCTAGTCATTAGGCAGACAGAAAATGTATATCCTTTAGATGTATGCTTGGGTCAGTTAAACATACTGTAAATTCACCAGATCATGATAACCCTGCTGCAGGATTACACAGATGGCACCAGGGCAAGGCAGTAAAACTCTGTTACTGCCTCAATCCAACAGGTAATAAGGACCATGCAAGGAAAGCAGCTGACAGCTGTTTAAGATTTGTTCCCATCCACACATTTCCTTTCTAATCTGGTTGATTTTGTTTCCGAGTCAGAGAAGCCTTTAAAAACCAGAGGGAGCAAGAGGTCAGAGTGGAAGATCCTTACTGGTGTTGCAGTCCTTGTCCACAAGAGACACACACACGCACACACAATTTCACACACAGGGAGGTGAATGGCAAACAGTGAGAAGCTGCTGCTATCCCTTCTCCTGCTCCTGGGACCATGGAGCCAGGAGGTTTTTAAAGACAACATGGCATTTGTGGCCAAACTGCCCTCGCCTGCTTCCCTCCCAGGAGGAGGAACCCAACCTGCAATGCCTGGGGGACACAGAGCCGTTCTCACACCCACAGACTGCCCGGCAGAGGAAGCCTGCTTTCCACGTTGGTAGGAAAACAGCAATTGGGCCTCTGACTCCTGCTGGACACATCACTGGCCAGAAGAACTGGGAAGGGGCACAGGAAAAACTGAATAATCCTGGACCGACCATACTTCTCCACAGCACAACTAGTACACAACAGCTTTGTTGGACAGACGCACGCACAATGGCTCTAGCGCTCTCCTGCGATAAAGAAATCCGCTCTGTGGTCGTGGTGTTTGGTCATAGCCAGTTCCTGTCTGTCGGTGCAGGAAGAGTCTGATAGACTGTACAATTTTATTCCCTCAAGAGTAAGGCTGCAGCTGTTTTTTGGCCAAAAACAAAAGCTGAAAACAGAACAAATCCAAAACAAGAAAAGGAGAGTGGCCGGCTCCTGCTGCTCCTTCTTTGCTGTTATTTGAGTCTTCACAGTGCTTCTAGCTTCATGGCTGGCTGAGTGGATGGCTCTTTTTTTTTTTTTTTTTAAATTTTGTTGTGTTTTTTTTAAAATTTTACACTGAAATTTCATAGGTGGTTCCACCAACTCCAGACACCTTCTTAACATTTGAGTGTCTAGCAGGACTGACAGGTGTCCCTTGGGAACTTGATGTTGAACCCAACCTGGATATTCCTTTTGGCTGTCCATTTATTTTACTGTGAGGTGTCTTCAACTGCATGTCATCCCTGCATCAGAAGAAATATCAAAAGATGCAACGTTAGTGACCAAAGTGTGATAGCACAAAAGCTTCATTTAGGATAAACGATTATCACTGTTACCCTGACTTCCAGTGTTGCATGTGGAAGTGAAGTGGTTGAAGCCAATGTACTTGATGTAAAGCCGCTGAAATGGGAGGATCCATTTTGCCATTAGGTCAGTGGATCAGATCTTAGTAATATTTTTTCATTTAATTACTTGCTTAAATGCTTTGTTGAAATAAACTAATTGCATAAGCATTTGTAGGGTGCAGGAGGATTTAAATGTCACAACTATTGACCTTAAGCTAAACTGTGTCTTAAAATCAGAAATACTCAGAAAAAACCCACTTCCCAGTTAAATATCCAGTTATACAAAATTATATTGCTCATCTCTGAGGGACATAGAAGAGGTGAAGCGTTAAGACTTTTTTATGACAGAAGACACAAACTGAATCAAGTCAGGAAGCACTCTAGGATGCCTGTAATTAAAGACCATATTCCAGATGGACTCTTTATGACCTACTGCCAGGGAGCATGAACTACAGGCTTTCCTCTAAAGATCTTTTAAATCTAGGCCACTGTGCACTAAAGCTTAATGTGCCTTGTCCTCAGGACTCACAAAGTAATTAGATAAAAGCCTACCAAGGAATTTGTGTATGTTCTGGAAGTGCCAGCACAACCAGGGGCTGCTGTATTCTCCCATCTCACTCCTGCACACTGGATGTCTGCTTGGGTTTGCCTCAGTCTGAAGCTTAAGACTGGCTCCTGCCAGCAGCAGTGACAGGAGACTGAAGTACCTTCCAAAGGGAACAAGGGAACACTTTCTTTCTGCCTGCAAACTGAGGCAGCTTGAGCTATTTCAGACCACCCTGACTGTTTCTGGAGGCCACAGGGTTTGATTGATTAACTGTACTCAAAAGGCTATTTCTTTCTTTACACGTGTCTGCAAAACAAAACAAACTACCCCAGACTTTTACACAGCTCTTGATAGTCTCAGAATAGCTCCAAAGCTAAAAGAACTTCTTATGTGTCACCCTGGTCTGACAGCTGTACTCTGGAGCTGGAGCAGCAGGTCCATCAGCTCACACCAGCCCAGCTTCTGCTACACATCCAAGCTGTCCTTGCAGTACAGAATGCAGCTGTGGGTATCTGAACCAGCAAAACACATTATTAAATATAACAAAAATATTGTGTGGGTTCATAAAACTGCTGTATCCCCAAACAGCCAAAATATGCAGGGACCAAATTCTGCATTTGCCTCACCAAAGCATTACAGAAGCCCTAATTCAGTGCTGAAATTCTCCTGAAGAACATAGTCTGCCTTTTGAAACAAGGCAGAAAGGAGCTGGGGAGTGTTAAGGGGGAGGGGAGGAGGGAAAGTCATTTGTAGTGTTGATGACAGAAAAAACATGGTAGGTGTACAAAGCACAGAATGCTTGTGGGAGATTTACTTCTCTAAGTTAAAAACTTCAAGCTTTTCAACTTCATTAAACTAGGTACTTGACTTGACTTCAGGAACTGGAGTAAAAAATATCTTCTGCAATGGTATCATATGTCTGCAACTTTCTTTTAACATCTGATGGAATCTGTAGCTATTTAATAGCTAGACCACTTTTACCGGACACCGTATTTTTCATCACTTCAAAGAGCTGAGCTGAAGTGAATTTAGAGGCTTCACATTTTAAACAAGCAACAAGTAAAAGCAGTGGGACCAACAGGCTGGCAGCATAACCAAGAAGCAGAGACTAAGAAAAGGCAAACAGATTTTCATATTAGCATCTTCCCTACAGCAACAGTGGACACATCCAGGTCTCAAACAGAGGGCAGAGAGGCAAAAAAAGTCCACAGGTCTTCTTTAACTGAAAGAAACTAAATTCTTTAATACATATAAAAAGGAGAGAATGGCTGTCTAGCTACTGAATTTTAGATCTTACACCATTAGACAAATCATCTTAACAACTACAGTTCATTTGCAAACATTCAGGAAAAACGTGCTGGTGCGAAACTTCAGGAGACTTACAATAATGGTCCTCCCACATATCAGTAACTTTCACCAAAATGCTGGAGTGAGAAACCTGGCACCTTAGCTGGAGAACGGAACAGTGCAGTAAGTGCCAGATGCAAATAAAACCTAAATACTTCTGGCAAGCCCTCTTGGCCCCATCAGGGCTGAAATTCTGCATCCTCAGTGGGATCATGTAGCTCTTTTCAGACTTTCCATACCTATAGTCTCCAGAAGGAAAAGAAAGAAATCAAAGTGCATGCAGAAGCTGCAGCTGAGGATCTTCTCAGATACCACATCCTGCAGCTCTCAGCACAGCAAATCCTCTCTCCCCATGCTTTCTCACAGAGAGGAAGGAGATAGTGAAGCCCTAAGGTAATGGCAAGATGCTCTCTGCTTTTATCACCAGTTCTGTATGATGGGGCACTCAACGTACCTAAATACACAGCTCTCTACACCGAGCACAATCTCCACGACTGGCCACAGCCCCTGAGTCCCTTAGTTCAGGCTATACTTGCATGTACTGTGATCTCAGCTTTGCCTTTGTGTGCAAGCTGTGTTCAGCCTCCCTTTAGGCTGCCAACTAAACCTTTTTTATACATAACAGGAGGGATAATCTGCCTTGTATCTTGCAAATAATTAGGCAGTTCAGCTAAGACACTAAATCACTATGACTTCTGCAACTTAAATGACCACCTCTAGTTCAAGTTACAGCAAATGTGCGAACATTCTGTCAGGATGGTATCATAAAATTGAAGAGCACCCACAAACCTCCTGCCCTCGCTGCCTCACAGCAAATGTAATCTGGGTCATGCCTCCTGCAAAGTGCTTCACACATGCTCACACATTCACCTTGCTAAACAGAACCTAAACCAGTACATACCTTTGTGCTCCCACTGATTGCACCTCTGTAATTTCCACAGTGTTTACAAACGAGACAGCCTTTGGGCCTCCATAAGAGGGTGACCTAGGCATCCCTGTGGGGGACGATGAGACCTGGTGGCCTGGGGATTTGTAGGAGCCATTGCTCACCCTGCCCTGTAGTGCTTGATGGGACTGGACATTATTATTGGCTAAATCAGCTTGCAGAGAGGTTGTGGAAGTCCTTGGTGCTCTTGTCATTGCACTTGAGAGTGAGGACACTGAGGACTGCAGTATAGGGTTCCTTGTGCTAAAGCTAGCAGCCATCAGATTGTCTCTAGATCCGTATCTCATTGCCATGCTGCGTGGGTCTTCAGAGAGCGTGCTGACTTGCTGGAGGCTGTAAGAGCTAGGGGTGTCATAGACACCTGAGTCTGCAAACACGGAATCAGGGTGCGAGTGAAGGAGCTTCTCTCTCTCTTCTATCTCTTTCCTCTCCTGGATGGATGCCATAATGGTTTTGGAAAGGTTATCATAGCGGACTGGGGAGGGGTCTCTCTGATGTGGAGCTGGGGCCCCCAGCACGGGGCTGAAGCTCTGCGGGGGCTGGTGCTGCAGCTCGCTCCCCCGCAGGTGGCACATTTTGGCTGATAAATATGGGGAGTGGTACCCAACAGAGCTGACTGCAGAATGGGCAATGCACTTCCTCCCCGGGGGCGACATGGGGTTTAGCAAACTGTCATATGAAAGACTCCCATTTCTGTTTGACAGGGAATTGGGAGAAAATATGCTTTTGTAAGGGGTGGAAACTGCCCCTTCAGACTTCATTGGATGAAGGGGCACCTTGTCTGTCCCTCTCCTGCCAGCAGATTTCAGGCTCAGGGATCGTGAATTGACAGCGAAGGAATCTATCTGGAGTGGGGAAGACTGATAGGTCTTGTGGAGGGAGCTCTTCCGGTAGCTGGGGATGTCCAGGCTGGGTTCAGACTGATAATCAAGGCTCCTGCCATCCTCTTCTATCAGAGCCCCTTGACTATGTCCCTCCTGCATGGTGATCTAAAACAGAGATGAATATGAGGAACAGAAGTCAATGATACGTAAGCACAGGTTTGCTCTCCATGGTGAGTGCAGGGGAAGAAAAGAGCTGTAGGTCTCTCAGGCTCTCAGCCCAGCTATGACACAGGTTCAATATAAGGAATCTCCTAACTCCTGTTCAGCATGGGCATAAGCATCTTAGAAGCAAGGAGGAGTTATTAATAATAAGTGTTAAATAATATTGACAGTAATAAATATGTCAATACATGGACACTGAAAAAACAGAATGAAATACCTTCCATACTGAGACTCGAGTCTCAGTCAAGGTAAATCAGATTGTAACCTGATAATACTGCCCTTGGAAAAAGCAATTCACTTCAAGTTTTCTACAAATAGCTCTTGAATTGAGGGATGTCTGGTTTTGTGTGCTGAGTCAGAAATAATTTAGGCTTAATTTCAACACACTGGGGACCAGCACACTTATCGACTTTACTCAGAGCTATGAATATGCAGTAATTCTGAATTTCCAGTCATAGGTCTTCAAAATCAAGCACCTAAGCTTAATTAAAGCAGAGAGGCTCCTTCCTACCATTTAGACAACAAAATTAAGCCGTTTTCTCTTTTTTTTATTGCCTATCTAAGAGAGAGCGGCCACAACAAACAAGGAAACATAGGCCATCATTTATTTATGTGCACTGAAAATAGACAGGACTTCATTTTGGTTTACTCTGTGAAAGATTGGTTACAGTTCTGTTTACTTAAAATTCCATTCTGTGCTAAGCAAATATTTTTTTAAATTATTTTTAAGGAAGATGTTGCCATAATGCACAATAAATTTGCTACATTGGCTCTGCAAAAAAATAATTATTATCAGTCACATATTTAATCAGAAATGCAATCAATGCAGATTGTTCTTTATCTAATTTATTTTTAAGGAAAATTATCCAAAAAAGCATAACTGGCAAAAATCTATTTTATTCTAAATTTCTCTTCAAGTTTTTTCCTTGAGCTAGAAGATAGGGAAATATGTAAACCAGCTCACTATCTGCTGCAGCACAGTGCTGAATTTGGCCTTCTCTGGAAAAAGGAGACCAAGTGACAGCCTGTAAGGAGAAGGAGAGAGCAATGACATAGCTTGTAAGTGTATTTGCGTTACTTATCCTCGTGCCCTGGTCCCCCTTTCCTAACAGCTTTCACTGCTCAAAAGCAGAATTACACTGACAAGCTGAAGAACTGATACAGAAGAGACAACATGATAATCCTCACCCCAGGTAGTCTCTTTCCTTCTGTACCATATACTTAGACATAGCTTGGCAAACAAATGCTATCCTATCTGCTTGCCAAATGAACTCATTTTTATAATATTCCCACTTGACTACTAGAAAGTTGTGACTACTATAAAACTGAACAAGTCCACAAAGCTGACTGTGTGCACACCAGTCAGCCTGTAGTAACAACATCTTTTTAGGTTAGGATCAAAACATTAATCCTCAGAGTGAATCTACTGTACCCTGTTACTATTCCATAGCACCATCCAGTCTCCTGGCCTTATCAGACCCTGACCTCTATTTAGATTGCATCTGTCCCTGTGTACTGAGTGAATAAAATACACTTGCTCTTCCACGGTTGACTTTCGGCATCATGACCCAAAACACTATCAGTTTCCCAGCTCAAAATTGCTAGCTGGTACCTGTATATAGAATATTTTTAATTGTATGTCAAGCCATTTTTAATGTAATAAAGTGAAGAGGATAGGATTTTAAACTTCCTGAATACAGTGAATACACTGTTGTTACCTTTCATAAGCCAATCTTTTCTTCATTAAGTGGTAAATCCAAAGAACAAGATTTATAGTTTTTGCAGTAAGACTGAAACCCTAACTTGGTGGTAGCTGGAATTCCACTATCTATCACCATCTGTGTTTTCAAAATGAGAAAGATACTATAACAGTTTTCTTCACCATTTAAGGAATAGTCTGTGTTATTCCAGAATTGCTGTAGTCTATATATCTCTACCATATTTTCCTTTCTTTACCTATATTACCTCCCTCTTTTTATTGCAGGTATGCCATTGGAGGAGTTGGTGAAATTAATTACATGAAAACCATGTGTGTGGTATGTGTGTTTTAAGGATATCTGCACTGGTCTATGAAGATTTTGATATAAATTGCAACTATACAAGTTATACCAATGATTTTTGAACTGCTGGTTTTAGGTCCTAGAGGGCAAAGGAATTTTTGCAACAAATCCATGAGAAATAAGTAAGAAAAACAAGCCTATTAGCAGTAGGCACAGTTTTGTAGTCTGCTTCCAAAGAAAACAGTGTAAACTGTTTCAAAACTCCTAAGCAAGGGAGAAAACAGTCAAAAGGTCAAGTGCAAGTCTCTCAAATTGTCTGGACCTCAGTTTTCTTGACAGGAGGGAATGATGCCAAGTGTTAGGAAGCCTATTTTTCTTTTCCATTATATAACTCAGCTGTGTTGAGAAGGTGGTAAGGAAGGTCAAATATCAGGAATCTTCCATTAATTTCAACTAAAATATCTCTTGGGATGTTTTAAAAGTTGTTTCTGTTTTGCAAGCTGACATCTAAGGGAATCTACCAAGCATGTTGTCTGTTGGCTAAAGGGTCTGATCCAGAAAAGCACTAAGCATGCCCAGCTCCCTCTGAAGTGAATATGAGTTGGCATCTGTGTCAGGAGAAGTCAATGGGAGGTGACACTTCTCAGCATCTCATCATCAGACTAAGACAGTGGTAAAACAGCAGGGCACACCTGTCAGCAGGACAGACGTGACAAGCTCAGAAAAGGAAAGCTGCAAAAGCAGACATGCTTTCATAAGGAGCACAGTGAAAATACACGCTATCGCAGAACAAAACCAAACGTTGTTATTTACTTGTACACTCTGATATTCACTAGAACCCTGTGGTGAAATAATCCTCAGCTCCATGCTTCCTGGTGTTGGGAGCAGATTCTCCCAGGCTCTCTCACCTGCTCAGCTGTAGCATGGTAGTGCACTTTGGGATTGTTGCTGAAAGCTGGTCGGTACTTGTACATGGCAGGTGTAGGAGGGCTGATCATTTTGGGAGAAAGGCCACCTTCTGTGAAAGGAAACGAGAAAGGATTTGCCATTAAAATGTGTGGACAGAACACTATCATCCCTAATCCTTGCTATCTACAGTCCTCTGCAAACAGATCTGTTCTAGATAGAATAAAACTTGCAGGCCTTCTGTGCAGAATTCCACAATGGACCCCCTGTGGAAATAAAAGTATGTTGCTGACAGATCAGTAATCTAAAGAGGAGAAACAAGTTATAATTTATTACATCAGGTGACATATTTTGGTGAGTAGCAGTTTTGCTATAATTTTAAATACTACATGTTTGGGTTAAATTCAGCTGCTAGTTTTGTTTGGGAGAAAAAAAAGAGACTTAAAAAATAGTATTAAAGCTTTAGTTTCACATTTTCAGATATGAAATAATTCAGTTTGTAATGTCAAAGCATTTCATACTGATATTTCTGATTTCTTAGTTCAAAATGTTATTCTCCATCTTAAACAATCAAATTTTTTAAAAAGGGTTTAAAAGGATTTAGAAACTGTGAAACTGAAGCATCAAACCTAGGCCTATATGAACTACTCCAAGCTGACATTTTTCTTGCTTTCCTGCTGTTTATTCCCCTAGCTCAGAGCTCTTGTAAACTGAAAAAAAAAACCCTTCACCCAGATTCTATTACTGTTTTGAAAGAATACCAAAAGCTTTTTGAAGAGACCAAAATATTTTCTTACTATTAAAAATAAAACACTGATTGTGCAACTATACCTTCATTGGTCCCCAGCTGCCCTTTCAGCTCAGAGTACTTGCTTGGATCTCCTTTGGGTGGGAGAGGTGGTTGTACATCAATACTTTTATCCTCCAGACCTTCCAGGCTCATTTTAGACTGAAAATGACCAAATAATCAATAATTATCCACAACCTGGTTAAGTAACACCATGTGTCAGAGTGCTAGTTGTAGCATAGAACAAGAACTACCTACACCTATAATGACAAACATGATTTAGCATCCACTGCAACAAGGACTGTCATGTGTAAAATTAGCATTGTCATTACAGGCCAGTACAATTTTAAATGCTCTGTCCTAGTCTACTTGGCATGCTAAATAACATTATCATCATGCTGATTAATATGTGGTAGAAGACAACGGTGTTTTCTAGCATTTTCCAGCAACCTTCCAGGCAGCTCACAGCAAGTAACTATCCAAAGAATGTAACTAGTAACTATTCACATAAATCTTGCAAGGTGGTGTCTTTTGAATCCACTGCTTTTTAGATAACTAAAAGAATCCTTCTCTATTTCAGGCCAAGAGAAATGGAAAAAATAGGAAGAGAGAATTCAGCTTCTGAGCCAGTATTCCTTTCACTGGACCACAAGCCTTCCTGCAGTCTGGAAGCTCAAAACCTTCCCTGAAGTAGAACAGCTGCCCTTGTGGTACAAGGGTTGTCGCAATGTTTTAGGTTAGTTGAAATTAATTTGAACACAGAGGTGGAAACTCTTGGGAGAGACAGTAACTATTGCAAAGAACAACCACATCTTCCAACAGATGCCCAGAAGCAAAAAGAGTTGTTACTGGATCAAGAGCTGCTGTCACTGAACCTGGGTTACTTTCAGAGGATGAAATATATTACAAGGAACCAACCTCTGTAATTTCCTCCAAAAAATGTATCATCTCAAAGAGATTCAATGACAAACTCATTCCCAGGCTTAATAATGCTCAATCCGTGCTCTTCAAAACCAGCACTTGAAGGAAGGCTGCCTTACCTTGCTCCGGTTGAGGTTGGCTTGGATTCCATTGTCACTGATCTTCACTGTGATCTGGCGCTCAGATAAATCAGGTCTGAGGAAAGGAGGCTTCACACTCACAGCTTGCTTTTTCTTGGGCTCAACTATGTACCTGAGTAATCGTTCAACAGTCATCATTAAAATAAAGAACAACCTAAGAACAAGGCACAGAGACAAGAAAATCTTCTTGCTTCCACACTGTGATTCATGAAAGTGTCAGAATCTACGTAAGCAAATTCCATTTATTTAGATGGATGTAATAATTACAAACTAATAAAAAGATCTTTGGATTTTTTAGTGAGCAAAAGGAAAGGATGCACTGAAAAACCAAAGCAACTTTTGAAGCACTGATGGATAAGAGCACAGCTCACACAAAGAGAGAGAGGCCTACTGCCAATGAAAGTGACTTACTCCATCTTACCTAGTTACGATGAAACAACTTCCCTGTGGTAAAAGACAGTGACTGGGGGAATAAGACCCAGCACACAGGGATTTAATATGGAGAAGATGATGTGTGTGGCTTGTTTCTGTATTGTGTTTTGAGTGTTCAAATAAATGGAGGTAAAAGAAACAGGTCTACAGGAAGCAACAAATCTAAAGGGAAATGACTGACTTTAGATATCTAATTTCTTTTCACTGGACTAGAATTCTGTAGGTGCAACTGGGCAGTGGCTGGACAATGTATAAATACGTATGTGCACATAAGCTTTCTCTGTTTTATCCAGTGCATAGGACATGCCAGCAGTGATGACTCAGTGACTTTCAACATACAGGACAATTCAATAGGTCTTCACAAAACACAAATATTCTGCTTGCTAAAAGTCTGAGAAGAGCCATGGTGATAGTAGTATTTACACTCTCTCTCAAAAGGAGTGGCTCCCAGCTTCTAGTATCTGACTCTCTTAAAGTATCTTGACCTGATTTTCAAGTTTTGGTAAGCTTGAGAAGCAGCTATTCCAGTGTCTTCACCTCAACACATATAACAGACTTTTAGAACTTATTTGTTGCATAGCAAAGAAGGGGAAAAAAAGGACAGAGAATAGTGTCAGTGTCTGGAGTTGCTTAACACCCTGAAAAGGCTCAAATAAGTCTTCTTGTAGTACTATTATTAATATGTTTGCAGGCTGAACAGCTCAGCACCTATGACATTTATACTCCCTCTGATCTATTGCATTAAAATCCCAATTTCAAAACGTGAAACGATAAATCCATTTTCCCCAAAATAGAAAGCCATAAATAAAATCTCAAGTTCCATGATGTAGATCTCATTGAAAATCTGTTTTATGATAATGAAAGTGCCAGTGAGATTGAAAGCCACAGTGGCCTTAAATTAGATTTAAGTCTTAAGGAGAAAGGCTGATTTTAGATTCCTTCTCTTTCTCTAGCAGACTGGAATACCTGGACATTGACTGCACAGAGCAAAAGGTCATGTTGGGAGTATGAAAACACACTGAAACCTACCTTGTTACTGAAATCCACTGGATAAACAAGTTGCTGCAGACAAAGGTATCAGCTCTTCATATAATTTGACATGCTCATTTTAAACAAACATTCCTGGGATTATGTTACGAATTACATTAAGAAAACAACTGCTTGGACAGGTTACAGCCATACAACAGTAAAACAGCTATCACAAAGCTCTGCATTGAGGAGTGTTTTGCTTTACTTCCTTGTTATTTCATCAATGGCCTTTCACTTTTGAGCCCAACCAAGCACAATTTTTTCCCTCTGTCCCAACAACTACTGTACCTCCCCCATTTCCAGTTGAGAGCATTTCTCTTACCTGGGAGCCAAGGGGCTGCATAGCACATGTTCCACATTTCCACAGCAACCTCGGGTAAAAGGATTCACTCCCCCACGGAATTTACCTGTCACCTGGAAACATATTCAGGGTAGGGCTCAAATTTCTAGTTATATAAAAGTCATCATCCAACCCTCAGAAAGTCAAGAACAAGTATACTTTGCTCTCACCCTACTATCCTTCCTTTTTGTTTGAATGCTGCACTTCCTCTCTCCTGCTGTAGCACATCCTCTCCATCAGCTGCTTCTAGCTAGGAGGCACACCAACTAAAGAACCTTTGCCAAAAGGGCAGTGAGCTCAATGTGACTGCGTTTCAAAGTGGCCAGGTTCACCTCTCTGATAGATTTTTGCCTGCTGTCAGCCAGACATCCTGTTTTGGTCCTTTCATTTCCCTGTCACTTCCACTCCTCTGCCTTGGCAAGTCCCCTCCAAGCAAACAAGAATGTCAACTCAACGTGCTTAATGTTGGATGAGAGCCAAGTGTTGTCTCTAGCAGCCCTAGCAGCAAACAGTATGATCCACTGCCTTCAGCA